AAAATAAAAAAAAAACTAAATTGTGTCCTTTTTCTATTTAGAAGCAGTCAGTGCTTCAGTTTTAGTCCCTACAAATCCCTGCTGTCAGTTAAAACAGTGATCACTGGGATGTGGATGCCTGGCTGCAGTCTTGTTAGTTTATTTGAACAGACCCCTAGTATTGGGGCAGTATGGCTAATCATTGTGACATGGGCAGGGTGAAATCTCAGCTCAGATCTGTTACAAGTTGCTGTTGCTTTTGGTCCTTAGAGATCTTACCAGAGGAACTCTGTCCACCACGCTACTTAATTCATTCATCCTATCTGCTCTCCACAGTCCTTTTATTTGGACATTTATCTCCACTTGAATTATGGACACAGTCAAGTCAGTTTCAAATTTCTCTTCTAAGGACTGACCAAATAGCTCAGCAGATTAAAGTGCCTGCAAGCAGGCACAGGGACCAGGAGTTCGATCCTCGGGTATCCAGTGTGGCCCTGCCCCCAGGGTGTGCTGAGACAGCAGTTGAGACTGGGTATGGTGGCATGCCTGTAATCCAGCTCTTGGGAGGCTGTGAACAGGCATATCTCTATGAGTCTGATCTAGTAGTGAGACCCTGAACACCCTGTAGACCCTTCCCTAAAATACAAAAAACAAAAATCTCTTCTATGTAATCTAAGCACTCAGGAGACTGAGGCAGGAGGATCACCAAGAATTTAGGGCCAGTCTGGACAGCATAGCAAGATCTTTTCTCAAAAAAAAAGTCACCACTCTAGACTAACGACATTGAATGAACAATGTTGTATATAAAAGATTGAAGAGATCCTGGCTGACTTCTCTTCCCCCAGAGAGGACTCACCCTCTCTTTTACTGGGCAGATAGTTATAGAGATTGATCTGAATCTGAACTGCAGTTTAGATAAGCTTTATCTTATCCAGTTTCTTTTTTTGTATATACACCAGGCATCTAACTCAGAACCTTGTGCTTGCCAAGCACGTACTTAATCTACTGAGCTATCTCCCCGGTTACAAGGATGTGGATTTTCTCACTTAGATCCTGAAGTTATTTGTAGGTCCTCTTCTCCATGGCATGGTGCAGACATTGCTTTGTAGGCACTAGACTAACTGCCTTCTTTTTGCAGTACTAAGGATTGAACCCAGGGCCTTGATGTATATTAGACAAACACTCTACCACTGAATGTACACTGACCTTTTAAATTTTTATTTATACATGCAGTTGAACCCCTTGCCTTCACGCTAAGCTATAATCCAAACCCTTTTAATTTTTTCCTTTTTTTATCCCCCCCTAAGTGTTTTGAGACAGGTTTTTGCCTTGTAGTTCAGGGAGGCCTTGAACTTACTGTGTAGCCTAGGCTGGGCTCAGATTTTTATGTAATCCTCTTTCATCAACGTCCCCAGTGCTGGGATTACAGCCTTAAATCTTATTATTTTGAGACAGGCTCTTGGGCCAGGGATACATACAGCTCAGTGGCGCAGCATCTGCTTGGCAAGTGCAGGGTCCTAAGTTCAATTCCCATTACCAAAAAAGAAAGAAAAATGAGAAAGCGACATAGGATCTCACTAGGTTGCCCAGGCTAGATTTGATTTTTTTTCCCTCAGCTTCATAGAGAGCTAGGATTCCAAGAGGGTACTACCATTCCCTGGGTAGATTTTTTTTTATTATTATTTTTTCAAATTTGATTTTTGGGTCTGTTTTCTTACTCATTGCCATATATTTAATTCTAGATACATTAAGGTTCTCAGTAAATAATGCTTGGAGCCAGATTTAATAGCACAGTTGCAAACACAGCATTCTGGAAGGTGGAGGCAGGAGGAACATATGTTTGAGCCTAGGCTGGGCAGCTTTGCGAGCTGTCCTGTCTCAAAAATTAAATTAAATAAAATAAATAAAATTTTTAAAAGCCTAGAACTCTTACATGACGACCAGGGCTTCCATCCCTAGTACCACAAAAATCAGTATTGCTTGGTTGAAAGTATAGGTGGAAGTGGAGGAGGATGAATCACAGAGAACCTTCAGATTTAACTCTAGCAGCTTTTAGATGGCAGTATTCACTTAGGCACACACAAAGTAGAGACGAGAAATGTTTAGGCACTATCTATATGGTGGTGTGTATCTGTAATCACAGCACTCTAGCAGGCTGATACAGGAGGATCATGAGTTCAAATCCACCCTTTGCAGTTTGTCAATTTACTGACACTACTTCAAAATAAAAAGGATTTTGGTGTTGTAGCATAATACAGAGGCCCTGGGTTCAGTCTCTTTCCACAGAAAAACCTGTTCCATGTGTTACACATGGTAGTATTTTTTGCTAGGTGCAAGTGATCATGTAAATGAGGAAATCTGTTTATAAAGTCAAAATGAATAAACTCTTCTCTTTTAGGCATATAAAACCTTTGCTAACCGCGTAAATAATTTAAAGAAGAAATTGGATCAGTTAAAGTCAACCCTTCCTGATCCTGAAGAATCCCCAGTCCCTTCCCCAAGCATGGATGCTCCCTCCCCAACTGGTTCTGAGTCTCCATTTCAAGGAATGGGAGGTGAGGAGTCCCAGTCACCAACTGTCGGGAGCGAGAAATCTGCCACACCCGAACCTGTGACGGACAATCGTGATGTGGAAGACATGGAGCTCTCAGATGTGGAAGATGATGGATCCAGAATCATTGGTATGTCCTTACGTGATCTGTGGGTAGTTTATTCCTTGTCAGTTTGGTTTTCACATCCATTAATCACTCATGGGCAGACACTAGAAAGGTATTTCAGTCCTTGCACTTAGAACATCAGAGTAGCATATTGTCCCCAGAACAGTGAGCTCAGGATTTGGTAAGCCTCAAAGGTTAAGAATTATTGCTCGTAGCCAGGTGCAGTGATGCACATATGTAATTCCTGCATTTGGGAGGCTGTAATGTCAGCCTATACATAGTAAGCTCAAGGTCACCCTGAACTACACAATGAGACCCTGCCTCAAAACAAACAGAATCATTTAGCCGCGTGGCTGCTAAGATTTTGCATAGTTATAATACCAGCAGTCAGCTGAGGTGGGTGGATCATGAATTCAAGGCCAGCCTGTGCTATACAGTAAATTCACAGCTAACCTAGACTACACAGACAGACCCTATCAAAAGAATGAAAGAGAGGGAGGAAGGGAGGAGAAAAGAATCATCAAGGTTAGGGATATGGCTCAGTACACTTGCCACATCCCAGTACACCAATCCCTAGTTTCAGTCCCTAGGACTACAGAGAAGAGAGAACCAGAGAGAGGGGGAAGAAAAGGAAGGGAAGGGAAGGGAAAAGAAAGCAAAGGAAGAATTATTGCTCATTATCAGCACTGTTATCATATGCAGTGGTACATTCCTGTTATTGCAGTTACTCAGAGGCTGAGACAGGAGAATTTTGAATTCAAAGCCAATGTCAACTTAATGAAACCCCTTTCTCCAAAAGTTAACTGAGCATTTAGGCACACAACCGTTATCCTAGCATTCTGAGAGCCTACGGCAAAAGGATCTGTGAAGTGCAAGCTCAGCCTGTGCAATTTAATATCTTATGGAGACCCTGTCTCCGATTAAGCCTAGATATGTAACCCAAGGGGAAGCCCTGAGATTCAATCCCCAGTACCAAAAAACAAGTAAGTTCTTTAGAGCAGCCTCTGCCTGTATGTAACTGTGAAATGTAGTTTGTTCAGCTTCAGATATGTTCCAGAAAATTAATTACCCTTCCCCAAAAAACTACCTTGTTAATTGTTTTTTTATTTTTTTAATTTACTAAAATGAAAATATTTAGGATGTACTCAGGTAAAATACTGTCTCAGTTACTTTTGACTCGTAGTTGGGACAAAATACCCAACACCCAAAATTAAGGAAGGAAAGGTTTATTTATAAGCTCACAGTTTGTTTCAGGTTTTAGTCTATACTTGAATGGCTTCCAGGCAGAGTGGCACATGGCAGAGATCATGGCAGTAGAAATCAGCAAAGAGGCAAAGGGACAAGCAACAGCTGAAGCTTCTAGCAAGCTTTTCTCCCATCCTTATGTTACAAACAAGCTACCTGGGGCTGAGAGTGTAGAACTTACACCCTCCTCTTGCACAGGATGAGGATGTTTACAAACTAAGAATCCTGACACTTTGCTGAATCACTGAATTAAACTGCTAAACTTCTCAAGATGACACAATGTATCAATGAGTACAATCCATCCCTTGTCAACTTGACAACCAGATATTTCCTTAAACCAGTTTCTAGGTATATAGACAAGCTTATTAACATTTTATAACTTCAACATTGTATTACGTTAGAACCATGACATTTTGCCCCTGCCCCCCCACTCATGCACATCCCTTTATGCAAAATGCATTTTAGTCGATCTCTAAAAGTTGCCCAAGTCCTAACAGTTTCAGCATTGCTGAAAAGTCCAAGCCCCAAGTCTCCTCCAAGATCTAAGGCACTCTTAGCTCTGAGCCCCTGTACAAATGAAAAATTAAACACTTCCAACATCCAAAGGCACAAGATAAACATCATCATTCTAAAAGGTATACATGGCAGATACAAAGAATTAGAAACAAAATAAGTCCAAAATCCAGCAAGGCAAACATTAAGTCCTGTAATTCCATGTAGAATATCTGAAGCAATCTGTAATGAGTTGTGAGCTCCAAAAGTCTTACATGGCTCCACCCCTACTACACTTCTGCTAGTAGCTCCCATGGCTTTTCTCTGGTGCTAGCTTTGCTCCCTCCTGTAGCTTTTTTCAGACAATCCGTGCTTCTGGCTTTCCCACACTTCTGGGGTTTCCACTGAACAGGCTTCTTGCTCACAGCTTTACACATTGCCCTCTCAGGGACACATTGGCTGGCCTCCCGGGCCTTCTAAAATCTAGGTGGAAGCCTTCTTAACCTCAGAACTCCTGCATTCTGAATGTGCCTAAAACCAGTGCCATGTGGATGATACCAAGGTCTGCTGCCAGCTGAAGCAGTAGCCAGGCTTTCTTCTCTCTTATCTGTAGGGGTCGAGAGCCTGGGTTACTGAGTACTCAACCTGATTCCGAGGAACAAATTCTTTATGCTACTGCCATTCTGGAACCTGGTGTGGCCACCCTCTCTATTCTGCAACATGGGGCTATGCAGCTTTCTCTTCAGAGCAAAGTCCCTTAGCCTTGAGGTTCTCAGGCTAACAGCAGAACCTGCCACCTCCTGTGATACCCTCAGGACATCTTTTCTATTCTGTTCCTCCTGAGCAAGTGAGATCTCAGCTCTATCTTTGCAGTCCACAGCCTTCCTGGTGCTTCCTTTCTGGCCAAACTCACATTTTAAATCACCGTGCGGGACTCCGTTGCTTTTGACTCTTCAACATATATCTGACTAAGAGCCCCCAACAATAGTCATGCCACTGCCTCAGCATTCAACTGCTATAAGATTTCTTTTGCAAGATTAACTAGTCCACTCTGCTTAATCTCAGTCTCTGGACAGCAGCAAAGTGCAGACAAACTTCCAGCCAAGCCATAACACAAATCACCCGCAGTCCAACAACCTGGTACCAGAGCCAGCGAAATAGCTCAGTGGATTACAGCACCTGCAAGCAGACGCAGGGGCCAGGGGTTTGATCCCGGGGCCTGCCATGCTGGCCCTGCCCCCAGGGCGCTCTGAGACTGGGCATGATGAAGCGCACCAGTAATCCCAGCACTTGGGAGGCTGTAAACAATAGAATCACTACAAGTCCGATCTAGTAGTGAGACCCTGAACACCCTGTAGACCCTTCCCTAAAATGTAGGAAAAAATAATAATTCCAACAACCTGGTACCAAATTCTGTCTCAGTTGCTTTTCATTTGTTGCTAGGACAAAATACCGCACACTCAAAATTAAGGAAGGAAAGATTATTTAGCTCACATTTTGTAGAGGTTTCAGTCTATACTCGGATGGCTTCCAGGCAGAGTGGCACATGGCGGAGACCAGCAGTTCCTGGCAGTGCAGAGCAAGCGGAAGGGCAGCAGCTGCTGCTTTCAGCCAGCCTTTCTCCCTTCCTCCTTGCACAGGAGGAGGGTATTTACAAACTAAGAATCCTGGCACCTTGCAGAGTCACTGAATTAAACTGCTAAATTTCTCAAGTTGACACAATATTAACCAGTACAAATACATTATTAAAATTTATGTATTTTTCTTTTTTAAGTAGAAAAAAGTTTAGGGCTGGTCAGATAGCTCAGCAGATTAAAGCACCTGCTTAGGCAGACACAGGGACTGCAGTTTGATTGCAGGCTTGCCTGCTGGCCCTGCCTCTAGGGCACACTGAGACTGTGATTGAGACAGGGCATGGTAGCATACATCTATAATCCCAGTGCTGGGGAGGCTGAAAACAGGAGGATCACTAAGAATCTTATCTGTAGTGAGACCCTGTACTAAATACATTAAAGAAAGAAAGAAAAAGTTAAATTTACATATGTGGAATGAATGAGTTTTTATTAGCACTGGGGCGGGGTGAGCACTTACACTGGAATTCCTTATTCTGTGAGACTCCTTTTTTTAGTGACAGGGTCTCACTGTGTAGTGGGCTGGCCTTTGACTCATTATGTAGCCCAAATGAAATTGAACTCACTGCAGTCATCCTTGACCCAGCCTCATGAGCACTGGGATTGTAAGTAGGCAATATCATACTTGGCTTTTTTGGTACTCTTAACTGCTAGCTGGGCAGCCCTGTAATTCCACATCTCTGGACAACTGAGACAAGAAGGATTGCAGGTTCAAGCCAAGGCTAAGGAGTTTAATGAGATTTAAAAGGGAACTGGGCATGGTGGGACATGCCTGTAAAGTCTGCTACTTTAGAAAACTGAAGCAAGAGGATTGCAAACTTGAGCTCAGCCTGGGCAATGTCATGACTTAGACCCTGTCTCAAAATACTGAAAAGGTAGGGGAGGTGCTAGGGTATAGCTTTGTATGAAGGACAAAAAAAATTCAATTCCCCGAATAAAAATTTTTTGGGGGCCGGCCAGATAGTTCAGTGGACCAAAGCTCCTGCTTCGGCAGAGCGCAGCAGTGGGGGTTTGATCCCTGGTATGCCGTGCGGGCCCCGCCTCCGGGGCATGCTGAGGCAGTGAGACTGGGCATGGTGGTACACACCTGTGATCCTAGTGCTTGGAAGACTGAAAACAGGAAGATCATTACATAGAAGTCCAATCTATGTAGCAAGACCCTTTAGACCCTGTCCTAAATTCATTAAAAAAAAATTTTTTTTTGAAGGCCTGTAGATATGTAGCTCAGCAGGACCACTACACTAGTGAATTATTTCTCTGAAATTGCCAGCTTTCATTTTGATCATTATTGGGTATTTGGCTTCTCTTGAATTTATGCATTTACCATGCAGCCTTTAAAGCATTAAAGTTAGCAGAGGTGAAAACAGTAGCTGTTTGGGTCAGTTAGGGCCTAATTGGGCCTCGGTAGAGCAATTTCAGGGAAACAAGAAAACACAAATTATGTACAGAGGTTTTTTGTTTGTTTAATCTTTTTGAGATAGGTTTTCCCTATGCAGTTCAGGCCTTGAGCTCACGTTGTAGCCCAGGCTGGTTTCAAAGTCGCAATGATCCTATCTCAGCCTCCTGAGTGCTGGGATTGCAGGAGTGCACTACCATGCCTTGCCCAGAGATTTTGTTAGTAAGTTTTCAGGTCAGTGGAAAAGACAGAACAATTTATGACAAATGTCATCCCCAAAAGACAACACAAATATGTACAAGTTTCTGAGCATGTACACTTTAAAATTTTATCTCAGAGGTGTTACTGCTGCAGCATTGTTTTTGGGGTTTTTTGGGGGGGTTTTTTTGGGTTTTTTTTGGAACCAGGGATTGAACTCAGGCCCTTGCGCTTGCCAGGGAAGTGCTTACTCCACTGAGCCATCTCCCCAGCCCCTGTTTTATTTTTTTGTCTTGTCATTTTCCTACCATTTCCCCAGCATCTTTGTCTTCTTCCCTCTTATTACAGAAATGTACCTATCTAAAACATGAATGCTAAGAAGATGCCAATGAAGCATTAAAAAATAAAATTCAGGATGACTAGAAAATTCTTTTTAAGTAGATATTGAAGGTGGGATGATGGTAAATTATGAAGACTATGACTTCAAAAACAAAACAAAGGGGCTGGGGAGATGGCTCAATAGAATAAGCGTTTGCCTGGCAAGCGCAAGGGCCTGAGTTCAATCCCCGGTTCTGCCCCCCCCCAAAAAAAAAAAAAACCATAAAACTTTAGCTAGGCAGGAGGAGGTAGAGAGAACACTTGCAATCCCTATGCTGTGGGAGGCTAAGGCAGGAGAATTACAAGTTTGAGCCCAGCCTGGGTAACTTAATAATTTAGCAAGACCGTGTCTCCAAATAAAAAGACTGGGAATGTAGCTGCATGTGAAGGCCCATAGTTTAATCCCCACTGCCACTAAACAGACAAGCAAATAGGACATAAAATGAGTGGTGGTTGGGGCCAGAGAGATGGCTCAATAGAATAAGCACTTGCCTGGCAAGTGCAAGGGCCTGAGTTCAATCCCCAGTTCTGCCAAAAAGAAAAGTGATGGTTTCTTTTGAATATAGTGCTTCTTGCCCGCAAGTCAAGAAATACTGAGACACGCTGTTTTGTATTAGAAGCAAAGTCTGGAAGGCAGGAGGGTGTAATATCATCTCTTTCCTTTGTTGAAACAGTAGAGGACAGGAAGGATAAGCCTGTGGAGAAGACAGTTGTCTCCACTTCTGTACCTACAAAGCCAACGGAAAGTATCTCAAAAGCTTCCTCGTGTGCTCCAGTGCCTGCGACCATGACAGCAACCCCAGCTCTTCCAAAGCCTGTGAATACGTGTCTTCTGTCCCCTTCCCCAGCTTTGGCTTTGCCAAACCTGGCTAATGTGGATCTAGCAAAGATCAGTTCCATCCTTAGCAGTCTGACTTCAGTCATGAAAAATACTGGTGAGTAATTTCAATGAAGAGGATAAAAAGCTGATTTTTGTTGTTTTTAAATTGAGCCATCAGTCTTGTTTCATATTCAGTTTTTAAAAATCTTATTAAGGGATGTAAAGCCCAGCAAGATAGCTCAGTGGCCTAAAGAGCCTGCTTAGGCAAGCGTGCAGGGACGGTGGTTCAATCTCTAGCACCACATGCTGTGCCAGCCCTGCCCCCAGAGCAGGCTGAACTGGCCACCAAAAAAAAAAAAAAAAAAGGAAAGAAAAAGAAATGTAAGAGGCTGACCTCTGGTGTGACTTGCTGGCCCTGCGCCTGGGGCACACTGAGCCCGCAAACGAGTCTGGGCATGGTTGTGCACTACTGTAATCTCAGTGCTGGGGAGGCTGAAAACAGGAAGATCACTACAAGTCTGAGATGCATAGTGAGAACCTGTACCAAATATGTTTTGTTTTTTGTTTTTTTTTAAAAAAGGAACTGGATGTGGTAGCGCACACTAAGATTCAGTGCTTGGGAAGCTGAGGCAGGAAGACTACCAGAAGTTCAAGGCCAGCCTAAACTACACAACAAGTCCTTGTCTGAAAAAAAACAAGAAAGAGAAAGCCTGGGGATATAGTATAGTAAAGATCTTGTGTTCAGTACAGGCAGACACATATGATAGAACAAAAACCCATATATGATCATTACAGAAAAACTTAAAAATCAGCAAGAAAATAGATATCTAGAATCCTGCTGTCCTAAAGGATACCACTTGTATTTACCCTTACCAAGCATATGTGTATAGGAAAGTTTGGAGGATTATTCGTAATTATTTTAGTAAATGAAATAACCAGCTATATAAAATGAATAATATTTTGAACATTTTTATATTATTAAACATTTACATCATCTTCAGTAGCTGTACATTTGATAATTCACCTAATTCTCTTGAGACATTTATTATGCTTTCAGCTTTCCACTGTTATAAAGAATATGTAATGCACAACCCAGTACTAAAATATTTTGAACGACCCTTGCTATAAGAGTTGATAAGTATGTAGGAATTTTGTTTTTGTTTTTGTTTTGGGGTTTTGTTGTTCGGTTTAGTTTGGTTTTTGTTTGTTTTGGTGGTGGGGTGATGGTAGCAGCATTAAGAATGTAACCCTGTGGCCTCATATGTGCTCTCACGTTGTGTTTTGTTGTGTTTGTTTTCTTGCCCTGGAATTGAATTCAGGACCTCTTGCCTGCCAGGCAGGCACTGCACCACTGAGCTATATTCCTAGCAGGCCTCATACATGCTAAATATGTGCTCTACTACTGAGCCAAACCCCCAGCCCAAATTTTTTAATTTTTTTTCTTTATTGGTACCAGTAATCGAACTCAGAGGAGCCAGAGAGATGCCTCAGTAAGAGATGCCTCAGTAGAATAAGCGCTTCCCTGGCAAGAACAAGGGCCTGAGTTCAATCCCTGTTTCTGAAAAAAAAAAAAAAGAATCGAACTCAGAGGGCTGGCAAGATAGCTCAGCAGACTAAGCACCTGCTTTGTCAAGTGCAGAGATCAAGGTTCAATCCTGATCCCACCTGCTGCGCTGGCCCTACCCTTGGGGCGCACTGAGCTGGTAAACGAGTCTGGGCATGGTGGCACATACCTGTAATTCCAGCACTGGGAAGGCTGAAAACAGGAAGATCACTATGACCGAGCTGTGTAGTGAGACCCTATACCAAATACATAATGAGGGGGGAGAAAAAAAGAATCTTAGGGGCCAGGGAGATGGCTCAGTGGAATAAGCACTTCCCTGGCAAGCGCAAGGGCCTGAGTTCAATCCCCGGTTCCGCAAAAAAAAAAA